TGATTGTTTCATTTGTGGATCATAATCACCTAAGAAATACATTTTGTTTTGTAAATAGAAAACATAAAAATCTATTTTAGCGCAATCTCTACAGGATTAAACTATGAAACATGATGTAACTGCTGTTAATAATCACAAGAAAGTACTTTATTCTAAGCTATTGTTAGACAAATTTCTTTACTATCCTTGTACTTGATCTTCCAGAAATGCAATAAAGAAGTAGTTCATATATTAGAATAAGATATTATTGATATACAGTCTTTGATCGTATATCAACAAAGTCTGTGATGGTCTCGGATTAGCGTAAGACACGAGTTATGGGAAATTCAAATTTTTACTCCTATACTTCAATACTCCTTCAAGCTTGTCTTTCATAAAATTTATTTAAATAAATACCATTTATTGAACCATGATGAGACATATCAGGTGGCATTGATGACATATGAGTCAAATGTGGATCGTGATACTTGATAAAATAAAATGATAAAATATGTTTGAATAAGAAGAATTTTGTTTACCATTGGATTAGGTCCTGGAGGCATTCCACCAGGTATATTTCTCATACCATAGGGTGGCATTTCTCCACCATTTGAATCTTGAGGACTTGGCATCATTGGTGTTGTTGGTGCATGACCTGTTGGACATGGAGTCTAAATGATGTGTATATTTTTTATTATACATGAAAAACTTTTTAGCGTAATTGCTACAATCGATTAGCTAGTGAAGAGATAAAGAATAGAATCGAAATATGTGGAACTAGTATTTTATGTCTGATAAAGATACGCAATATTTTACAAAAATATATTTTGAAATACATACACCATAAGGAACGGGTGACGATGAAGAATAACCTCCAACCTAGAAATATAAAATAATTAATTGAAATAAATATAATTTAATTAAATTTACTCCTGGTGAATTTGTCATAAACATTCTTGGTCCAGGTTGATTCATTGAGGGTGACATTGCTGGTGGCATACCTTGAGGTCGATATGCATTTGGTGGTGGTGGTCCACCCGGACCTGTATGACCCATTGGATTTGGTGGTAATCGAGTACCTGGTGATGTCATACGTAAACCTAAATTTCAAAAATTTAGTTTTTCTTAAATATAAAACAAAAGAACATGTATAGCTACCATTTCGACCGGTATCCATTTGTGGTGGCATTAACGCTCCACCGTTTGGTCCACCCTACATATAAAAAAAATCAATAAGATAATTTAACTCTTTTTTTGGTGTCCATACTGAATAATCTGGTTGAGAAGGCATACGAACAAGTGAACGTGAAGGTGCATTTGGATAACGTGGATACTAAAAAGAATAGTTGTTTTTTTTATCAAAAAAAAAAAATGAATATCTAAATCCTACTTGATTCATCATTTGTTGTCCTGGTGGCTATAAAAAGTAATAATAAATAATTCATTTTTTTTTAAATAATTAATTATTTACTGCAAAAAATGGTACATTTGGATTATGCATTCCTTCACCGACATTCATTGGCATTGGTGGTGGAGCATTAGGATTTGGATTTGGCTAAAAAAGAAAAACAATAATAAACTAAAAACAAAATTCAATAGAATCATTTTTTGTACTTGAGGAGGAATGCCATTAGGAGCATAATTGGAATTAATAAAACCCTAACAAAAAAATAAAATAAAATTTAATTAATAAATCAAAATAAAATAAAATTTA